CCAAGCCTTGCCATACCCCTGAACCGGTTCTCCGGGCAGTGCCATCTTGTTTTTCACTTCTGCGCAGGCATAGAACAATTTTTATTGCAATGTGCATGCGCACGCAGAGCACCCACAAGCAAACCAACAGTAGTGCCTGCCAGAACCCACCCCTGGAGTAGAGGAGAGTGAGGAGGAGAGGGGAAGGGATGCGAGGAGAGGAAAGGAGAGGAGAGAAGCGGAGGGGGAGGGGGAAGGAGAAGAGAGGTTCAAATTGAGATAATGTCAGGTGAGGTGAAGTGAGGTGAGATGAACTAAGGTGACAAAAATAACATATTTTGGTTCTAAAAGGGAAAACTTTGTTCAAACCTTTCTCAGGGCAGTGGCGTGACATAATACAGGGTTAGGTTTTGTCTTAAAAAATAGTGAAACAGGAAAGTATATGAAACGTGTGTGAGGGTGGATGTATTTATTTACGTATATTGTGAGATATCTCATCAGATTTTGTTATGTATTTAGATCCCAACATAGGCAAGAAAAGAAAAACGTGTAAAATAAGTATAATATTTATTGTCATTGTACTTATATACAACAAAATTGGTTTCTATATAAAACTCAAAACAATGGATCCAGTTTTGCCTGATACTGCCCAGATTTTCAAGGATACTCACTTTTGTTGTGGTTTTCTTTTATATTAATGTTAAATTCCTTTTGGGGAAATTCAGGAGCATTGTCATTTATATCCTTAATCTGAATGTTGAAGAACAAGGAATTGTCTAGTATCACTCCAGTCTTTCTATCGTGAACATCAAAACGTATCTAAATAGTAAACAGTCAATAATAAAACTAGGTTAAAAATGTTGAGACAAAGCAAAAATTATTTTTCTTGATAATAAAGACAGACAAGCTATGTCTGTCTAATAAAGACAGACAAGATATGTGGGCATGGCCTTGATCAAATGTTGAATTCAGAGGAGAGATTTATAGGGGTCCCCCCCCCCTTTTAGGCTTTTAAGGTATATCAGGGAACTGTATTTTAAAATATAATCAATAAATTAATTGAACTAACCAGTCCTTGGCCTCGTGATTAGGTTTTCAATCTTAAATACCTTAAAGCCATTAGCGTGGAGAAAACTATGAGTTTAAAAGTTCAGCAAACAAGGGCTGGGTTTTAGATGAGTTTAGATGAAATCAGATGAGAATTATCATCCTTTTTGCTATATATGAAATGTAGCCTCTTCAGTTTAGCCTCTCAAGGCTCACCATCTTTCTACCGTGTAAACTCTCTTGTCTGTAACCTTCAGCTGGGAGAAACAGTGCATCACAAAGGAAATCTTTTTGAACCACAACTCCCATGGAATTGAAATTTGGCAAATTTTACGACATAAACATTACTATAATGCATTTTATGATCTAATACAAACTGTGATCAAACATTTCCTTGGTCAACTCCTGGTGTTCGATTGTGCTATCCAGTTAACCATGGAGTACTTTCATGGCAGATACATTTCTAAAGGTCTCCCTGAATTTTTAAGAAGTTTCAAATACTTTAAAATCTCTGCCACTGTAGAAGGCACTGGGGAATCTGGTCAGAAAATACCTCTGAAAGGAGGAGGACGGATTGTCTGCTGTGTACAAAGAAGCAAAGAATTAGCTCTTTTTTCAACTACCCTTACGAACTATGCTACCCTTAAAAATTTAAGAGGTTACCCACAACATAATAGATACAAATGAAATTAAGAACAGAACAGGCCAATAATATCCCATGCGTAACTTAGCAGCTGGACAGTAGGATATGCAAACAAATTGGTGGTGGATTATGACTGGTATGCCCTGGTATAAGCATACCGGTGCTTTCTGGGAGCACCAGGTACTGTTCCAGTATGGTGCTCAGAGGGTCCACCTGCCCGCCCGTGCTCCTTACCAGTATTTGAAGTTTTGGGGGCTTCCGCGCAGGCGCACGGAGTGTACAGTGCCTGTGCGATGCTTTGCCGAGCAGTGGAGCGTTACAGAGGTATCGCGAAGGCGTTGCAGGTGGTAGGTACGCATGCTGCGCGCATTCATGTGGTGGGCGCCCAGTCCCGTTGCACCGTACTGGTTGCAACGGGATCTGGAACCCACCACTGTTATGTACTAAGATATAGCCTTGTTATATAATTATGAAATGAACTATGGAAAATAACCCTGTTTCCCCAAAAATAAGAACTCCCTGGATAATAAGCCCGATTGGACTTTTGAGCAAATGTGCTAAAATAAGCCTTCCCCCGAAAATAAGCCCTCTCCTAAAATATTTAAATGCATGTGCAACTGGTCCCCACCATTTCCTGATGAAGAAAGAAATCCCCCAGGTGCTCCACATGCACCTGCCATCCATGTGGAATGGCCTCAGGGAGGCCGCTCCCGCAAATCTTAGCTACCATGCCTCTTTTCTTAGGGACAACTGCAAAAAGAGTGGCTGGCAAGAGTTGGCCAGAAACAGGGGCAGAACGTCCGAGCCTCTCTGGATCAGCTGATCTGCGGGCCACAGGCCGAGGTTAGGGGACCTCCTGCACCTCAAACATAACAAGACCTCCCTGAAAATAAGGCCAAGTGCTTATTTCGGGGGTCGGGGGAAGACGATATATCCTTTTTTCATGAACAATTAGTAACTATCTTAGATAGAAAATGATCCTCTAGAACTGTGATGGCAAACCTATGGCACGTGTGCCACAGGTGGCAGGCAGAGCCCTCACTGTGGGCATGCAAGCTCTTGCCCCAGCTCAGCTCCAGGATGCATGCCCGTGCACCTCCCATCAACCAGCTGGTTTTCATGTCTCTTCCATGCGTGTGCATGGATGGGGTGCAAACGGTACATGTGTATACATGCAGGGGTGGGGTGCATGTCCCCGTGCCCCTTTTTTTGTCCTAGGAGGCTTCAGGGAGGCCTGCTAGGTCCCAAATGGGGCACAGGGGGGTCGTGCACACATGCGCGGTGGGCAAGGGAGGAGGGGGGTTGCGCATGCATGCTGAGAGAGGTGGAGCACACATGGGGTCACGCATGCATTGCATTATGGGTGTGTGCGCACACACACGTGCTTTTAGTGCGCGGCAACAAATAGGTTAGCCATAACTTGTCTAGAAGTTGACAAACATTTCTCTTTTAAAGTTTTAATCTCACTTGCAATCAACAATAATAATATTCAGCTGAATAAAGGCATATAGCTTATCGAGACAAATATCTGGACTCTGTCTTTATTCCTACTGAGCCATGCCTGAAACTGGCAAAACAACTAAATGAATTGCCATAACTCAAGGACTACCTATGCTTCATGATGGCCCTACTTAGCCCAAATTGATCTGGCAACACTAACTCATACCATAGTGATTACTGAATTGGACTATTCTAACACAATCAACACAGGGGCTGCTACGCAGTGGCTAAAGCGCTGGCCATTCATTTCAATGCAGAAGATTAATTTTTAAAGTTGCTGCATCGTTATTAATAGATTTTTAGGTCCAAATCATGTTGACCTCTACCTTTAAAGCCTCACATAATGCAATGCTGGGTTACATCAGGCAACATACTGACAAAACAGAATCTCCCTACCCTGAACTATCATCATAGAGCCGAGGTGGCGCAGTGGTTAGGGTGCAGTACTGCAGGCCACTTCAGCTGACTGTTATCTGCAGTTCAGAGGTTCTAATCTCACTGGCTCAAGGTTGACTCAGCCTTCCATCCTTCTGAGGTGGGTGAAATGAGGACCCAGACTGTGGGGGCGATATGTTGACTCTGTAAACCGCTTAGAGAGGGCTGAAAGTCCTATGAAGCGGTATATAAGTCTAACTGCTATTGCTATCATACGAAGGCCTCCTGAGAATACCCCTTTTATGCCACACACTGCATATGGAACGTGATATAGAAAGCTATGGACAAACTAGCAAGACTTTCCAATAATAGTTTCCATTCTATAGATTAGTGATGGTGAACCTTTTCGGCACCGAGTGTCCCAGACAAGCATGCACTTGTCTGAGACGCAACCTAGAAGAGGAGCTGCCCAAACGGCAATCCGCGTGCCAGAATATGAACTTCTAGTTTCCGGTGCATGCAGGTGCAGTGGCCAGCTAGTTTTCTGGTTACTGGCGCGCATGCTCGTGTGACGATCAGCTGACTGGCATGCATGCTCACGCCGGAAAATGGAAGACCAGCTCTTCCCATTTCCAGCACTGCTGCACGCAGGAAGGCCAATTGGTCATTGCACGCCAGTGGTGAGGCTCAAAATTCTGTGGGCATGGCTTGACAGACGAGGCTTGGTGGGTGTGGCAGGGGAAGGATACTGTAAAATCTCCATTCCCACCTCACTCCAGGGGAAGATTACTGTGAAATCCCCATTTCCTCCCAATCAGCTGGGACCTGGGTGGCAGAGAATAGATGGGGGCGAGGCCAGCTAGAGGTGGCATTTACCGGTTCTCCGAACTACTCAAAATTTCCACTACCGGTTCTCCAGACGTGGTCAGAACCTGCTGAATACCACCTCTCTCGCGCATGCCTGCACACCAGAAACCCAAAAGAGGAACCGGTGACACTGCATATGCCAGGCAACATGTCTCTGCATGACACCTCAGGCACGTGTGCTAAAGCTTCGCTATCACGGCTCTAGACTCATCATTCATTCAGAGGTATGTGTGACTCCTTCCCTCCTTGCTTTTCAGAAGCAGATCATCAGTTACAGCTTTCATCAAACTTTATTGGGCATGTTGTGATGGGTTAGACTGAAAAAGATGAAAAATGCTATAAAATAAATAAGTACTGGAAAAGAGGGTGTGCTCTCGCGATCTATAGAATCATGCACATATACAAGTCCGTTGGCATCATCCTTGATAGAAAACAATCCATATTCCGGAAGTTCATCCACACCAGGTCCACTAATTGAATATTTTATGGATGAATTTGGGGATGCATTGTTGAAGAGCTACAAACAAAACAGATTGGAAATATTAGGTAAGATTTCTAAGTATTCTTAACTCCTCTAGTTAAAAATCATCATTATTATTATTAATATAACCTACTACTACTATTACTACTATTACTATTACTACCGCCTCCAGGCAGATATAGGAAACAGAAATATTTTTGGCAATAAAGATTATACCTCAAGCTGGCTTTTTGCTTTGCAGCTTGTTACCTTTTTGTTTATTTATTTATTTTTAATTGAAAACGTGTAAAATAAGTGTATAAATTGGGTGAGCCTCGTGGTCATGAAGAAAATGTCCACAAATGTGCTGGAGATAATAGATCCCACATGTGGGACCAAGTCATAAATTCCTATGTTGCTGCTTAATTATCATATTTTTGGAAGTATGACACACTTTTCCCCCTCTAAAAGAGGGTGAAAATTTGGGTGCATCTTATACACCAAATGTAGCCAAAAATGCAAGGCACGGAGGAGGTGATGATCTGTGGCAATCCCTGCAGCCTGGAACAGCTGATTGGTGGTATTCCAGGAGGTCGATCCACCCACCAATCAGCTGCTCATGCTGAATCAGGCTGCAATAATGTGCTGAAGATGACCTGGCTGTTCGCTATTTGCTGCAAGGAGGTGTCAGAACTTCCAGCAGCAATCACATCCAGAAAGCACACACAAATAACTGATTCAGCAGGATTCAATAATTTCTCTTTATATATAATATAACATATGAAGTAAATATACAATACTAAAAGCAGGTTTTCCAACGTGATAGTTCCAATGTGGTAAATATAGGCAAAACACAAGCAGAGGAGAGGAGATTCAGTTTTAGTTTCAGAGATCAGCACAGTATGTAGCTTTAGTACAGAACAAGTCACAGCCAGGCTCCTTGCTGTCTCCTTCCTTGTTGCTCACACAGCAAATACCGTTTCAGTTTCCAAACAGCACTCAACTCTCTCAAATACTGACAGGACACTAGCCAGATGAATACCATGGATGCCGGTAGTAAAAGGCAGAGTTCATTTTTCTTATTCCCCCCCCCCAAAAAAAAGGTGCGTCTTATACTCTGGAGGGTCTTATACTCTGAAAAATATGGTACTTTGGCCTCACTATCAGCAATGTTCAATAGTAGAGAAAAAATGTTGGTAATGCTAAGAAGTCAGCATTTTCGTTTTTACCTCTCCAATCAATTTGGGGAAGGGACCTTTGCCTTCTTCTTCAAGTTCAATAGTAGTAATCACCCATCTCCGTTTGGTGCGACGCAATGGACGCAGACTACTGGAAGGATCCCAATCCTATGAATGAAAGGATTCAATTATATGAAATGCCATCTCTTGTGACATGTCCTCTATAAACAACTACTGAGCAGGAGATGTTCACCTCATGTTCTGAAGCATTCTGAAAGCCATCTGTGATACCATTCTACAGAGGAATTATTTTTTTTCAATAGATTTCTTTTTATTTTCAAAACAAACACAACACGTAAAATCTTCCTTCTTTACATACTGTAGAAAGTGTATCAGTTGGTTACAAAA